AATGATATGAATCAAATAGGGATAAGAAGTTGGAAGAAATATCAAAACTTGACAAACTACTGTGCTAGCGAAACATGTTGTGATATATTTTTCAAATAAAGTTTGTGGAGATGTGAGGTGTAGTTTTTGAAATTACTATGGATCTTGATCAAGTAACGGTCGAATCAATCAGAAAATTGGAAGAAATAGTCGTTTTAGGAGCTGTTGAAAATAATCCTAAATCGTTAACGCGAAATTTGAAAATATCAACAGGCCTACCAAGAACTAACGTTAGGAGGATTTTGAAAAAATACAAAAAAACAATATATTTCATTGTTTGTTCATCATCATTATTATTACTGTTGAAAGTTTCATTTATTAGTAGTAAAAATATTATAAATTGTTATTCATTTTATTGGTACTATGCGTTTTAATTACTGCTGTGAAAAGCTTCCTCAAAATTTGATAGCTACTACTGAACAATGTCTTTTCTGCTCTATTGCCACTTAGTCCAAAGCCTACTTGATCAAAGTGCGTATTTCAAAGTCTACATGAAAAAATGTAGAAGCTTTATATTTCAAAGATGATTCTAGCGCAAAACATCAAGTGTTACATTTTTGGAAAGGTAATTTTAAGCGAAAAGTAACAAGTATTAAACAAAATTTGTTTCTCCTTTTTTGAACAAACGGTGAAGCTTTAGATGTATGGGCCGTCGGTCTATCAATCTGGCAATCAAATATATGCGGAACTACGCCTGGTTTCAATATAATTTTTCCCACTTTCATAGTTTTGATTGATATACATGTAATTTTCTAAGTCTTTTTCAATCTAAAATTCAAAGTAGTGCTCAGAGTAAACTATTTTTTTTTATTAATCATTATTATTCATAATTACATTGAAATGATCTTCGCAACAAAAATGCGGCAGATACCTACAAGTCGGCTCTCCGCATAGCGCGCTGCCATAACTTTCGTGATTTTAAGTTACTTGGCAGAGAAATAAAAATGTTGTCTGGTACAGTTACCGATGAATTATTGCATTTAGGAACGATGCAATACTTTTATAACGTCCTTTTTTATCATTATTCATATTCCCGCAGTTGACACACTGCAGTAAACAACACACAACTCCCTTTCTACGGCTTTAGCACACGTATTTCGCTTATCCGACAGCACTCTCTTATCACCAAGTCACAGCCGAGTCGACTGATGTGACGTCAAACTTGACCACGCTCCGTTTCGGTGAACGCCACATTCAACTATTAATTTGAGGGGGAAGATAAAGAGTGAAAATTCAGATTTTTGCAGATGTACTATTTGAAACATAAACTTTCAAATATTTCGAAAAACATGCTGTAACTCGAAACACTGATAGGAATCGATATGCGATTTTCCCCATTAAGTTTGTCATGAAATTTGACCTTCAGACACAGCCATTAGTTTCCATTTATCTAGTTTGAAACAGAAGTTTTCCTTTAAAAGTGTCCAATTTGGCCCACTCTGTACATCCCTTTAGGTTTGTAACGCACAGTAAGGTTGTACTTTAACATCTTAACCATAATTCTCTGTAACCGAGGTAAACGTATTGCAGAAACTCATGTCTGCATCAAAGTCTCTAGATGTTTATGGATATCATGACTTTCCTACCTTAGATGAAATCATAAATTTTTGCAGGATCACAAAATAGCAGTAAACTCTTTTTCAATCTGGCTAAACCAAGAATCAGTTGAAGCATGCTAAGCATATGCAGCAGGTTCACCATTCTGAAGCAAACAACAATCAAGCCCGCAGCCCGCTTTGACTGCTATATGTTTGGATGATTATTGATTCTAAATTGAAAGGGGTATATTTTCAGGAGAGATCAATTTTTGGGAAAGGAATCTTCCAGAGAAAGGAAGAAAGCAATTAACTGACAATTGAGAAATTTACCTTATTGCCTCTTCAACACTAATATGGATAACATTACAAGACGAAGCACTCAATTTATTCATACAGGGTGTTTCAGAATTCGACGGACAAACTTATACCACGTCATTCCTCTTGCAAAATGATGAAAAATGAGGTAGGACATGTGTGTCCGGAATCCAAAATTTTCATTATTTAATTTTTGGAAAAATTCTGGAGCACCGTTAAGGCCGAAAGAAAGCCTTTTAAATTTGAAAACTCCAAAAGTTGTACCAAATGCACACAATTTGCTATACTTTCACTTAATTTCACTTGAAACAGTAAAACATGTTTGTTCTTGAAGCATAGAATGACTTTCATCTGGTGTTGGAATTATAGAAAAACTCACGCTCCTTAGCTCATTTAGACCTTTGGATCTAAACATAGGCTCAAGTTCTCATCATTTTTTTTTTCTATGAAGGTGACTGACAATGTTTCGTGATGAATTTCATTAGTTCGGACTTATGATTTGAAATCCCTGAAAGAACTAAAAAGAAGAATTAAATTTTGAGGTTGAGCATTACTTTTCAACTTAAGAGCACATACTTTACTGAATTTGACTAATCCTATAAACACATTCTGATTTGCTTTAATGAAGTTTTCCTTTACTTAAGATTTCAAATATAATTTTAGGCAACTTGTGAGGCTCAGAAGTGGTGTTTAGTTTCTCCCATAACTTTTCAAAGAGGCAATCTATTTTTACATACCCTAAGGGTACAAATTCAAAACCTCTATAAGTGGTAATATTACTTTTTTGCAGTTTTTCACTTCATCAAGGGTAATACTTGACACTAACAGCTCATTTTCTGAATGGTCACTGCCTTGTTCATAATCTTCTGCAAATTATAATAATCTTGCAAATTTTTTACCATAAGCAGCGCATTGACATGGCCCATTTACATGTGTATTGTCTCATCTATTTTCTATTCGATTATTGCTTCTCTGTGATCCTAGATTTTTCCTAGTTACAGCACCAATTTTACTTTTGCCGCTTATACCTTGAACCTCTTTTACTTGAGCACTGGCCATTTCATTGGCATAACACACTTCTGTTGCTTTCTTTAAATCCAAACTATCCATATGTAACAATTTTTCTTGTAACGCCTTGTTACTAATACCATTCTGTCCTATACCATTTAATCTTACTCATCAAATTCACAACATTTTACCAGCTTCCTAAGATCTGTCAGAAAATGGTTGAAAGTTTCACCCTCGCCTTTTTTTTTCATTAAAGAAACCAAATCTGTCTCTTTTCTCATACTTGCCACTGGCAACATATTAAATTTCCAAATGTTCGAACCTTTTGAAATTTTTTGATAGGTTACCTTCTAATGACATAGGAGTAGAAAGTCCTACACCACCCATTTTTTTCAGAATTTTTATTTTCGCTGATGCACGAAGCTTTTTGTTGTTGATTTATTCAGTTTCCATATGACTGAGCCATGTACTTGTTTAATAAGAAAACAAGTTTTCAATTCATCAAAAGGTTGAGAGACAACCACTCCCATCGGAGTATATGGGCATCAATCAGCGATGCCACCCACTCCAACCGTAGTGTTGTGTTGTAAAGATCAGTAGTCAAACGGCGTTGGCTAGAGGAAGTTTTAGCTGCACTGGTGTCCTTCTACAAACATTTGTTGAGCACGTGTTATAGTTGGTTACACGGTTTTTATTTTTTGTGCCATTAAACATAGACGCCAAATCTGGACCTTCTGAATTACGAAAAAATTAACATTTACATGCGTACAGTAGGAAAGCACCCACAATGAAGAATTATTCTAGTGTTTAGAAGATAGCAGTAGTGACAAATATTTGCCAGGGTCCGAAGACGAATATCCCTCCGAATCAGAAAGTTATTCGGAAGGATATGCACATGGTGATGACCAGTCGTTAGGAAATATTCTAGTTTCGGTTGTAAATACCAATTCAGCTTCGACTAATGCGCAAAAGAAATTCAAGTGGACAAAAACAGGTACATTGAAAAAAGTTTACATTAAAAAAATCAAGAGCGATTCCGGGCAGAGGCAGATCTATAGATTTTTTCAGACTTATAATTGACAACACGAATTGCAAAAATAAACAAATAAAACAACGGCATCCGAGAGTACCTCAAAAATATAGTTTTTAAGCTACGGTGATAGTTTTATTGGTAGAATAAAAAAAATGTTTGTGAAAATTGTTTTATTATTATCATGGATAGTCCATTCATATTTTGAACATTTATTAAAAAAACCTGAAATGAGTTTCACATTTTGTGGTATTTTGATTTACCGTTTGTTTGAAGTTTCTTGAAAACAATATAAAACTGCCAATTATCCAAGAACAGATTTATATTTGAAAAAATTGTAGTGTGTGTCGGCCCGTAGCCGGTCGGTTCGACGTGGGTGTTTTGTTCACTCACTAAAATCGACCGCCGTGTTGGTCGGTGGTTCAAGTCCCAGCCTGAACGATCGATTTTCACTTGCTGTCGTCCAACCAGTGTTAGGAATCACACGTTAAAAGGTAAGACCTCGTTCGTCCTTAGCTCGCACAAGTTTCGACTACTGAGGGTTGTCGTTCGTATGGGTGTGACAGCTGGTTAACGGAAAAACATATTTTAAACATTTTTTTTGCAACTAGTAATGCCATACCATTTTTCTCTCAATAATAAACTCATAAAATGATTTATTTTCATGTAAGCTTTGTATGTTCTTGAATCTTACATCCGACTATAAACAATTAATGCTCCAGAGGTACACATCTAATCAACACCACTACTGTAGACACTTTCTTGTATTCTAGATGAAATACCCCTTTCACCTTATTCTATTCGAATAAAGTAACACCGCAGGACGCAGAAATGATTACACAATAAAAATTGAAATTCTTAGAGAATTTTAAAGAGTTGAATGAATATTTATAATAAATAACAACAAATTCTGAACGTAATCTTTTAAAATAATGAGGTATTATGAAGTATTTTTTTTAGCTTTTTTTCATTAGTTGAATGTAAAATATTTGCATTTGGCTTCTTTCAACATCAAACAAACATTGATCTGTTATGCCAAAAAGTAACAATTGTAACAAGTAAAAATCGAATATCATCCTAATTTTTATTAAAATGGGTAGGTACTATAAAAGGGAGCAATATTTAAAAACATTTGATGACAAGTAGTATCTCATAGCAATGAGAGTAGAAGGCAGTAGGATTTTTCCAAATTGTTTACATCTAAGAAGAAATTAAACGATAATAAATTATCACTTTATTGTAATGGTCCTATAAGTGATTGACTGGTGTAGAGTAAAATAAAAAACAACAAAAATAACAAATTATTGAACATAAATTTTGCACACACTTTGTCCTTGAAGATAAAAATAATTCTTATCAAACTGATATTGTAAAAGTCTAAAGGAGGTGAAATTACTAAACCTATGTATAACCTATGAAATTTCATGAATATTTTTAAAACTATATTGTCATACTCTTATATTCACAAGACTTACCACTAAACGCAGTCAAGCCATTTCTTCTTCAAGAACAAAATTAGTCAAACTCTGTCTTCATTAACTATAAGTAGTTAGTTAATTCTCAAAATAATTCAAAATTCCTATTTTGTAAATCTATTTACAATATTTGAAAACTATAAAAGTTATAAAAAATTAATTATAGAAATAAATCGGCGTACACCATGGGCTTCATATTTGGGTGGGGCTGAAAAAAATAGGAATATCAGTTTCTGTTTTGACAATTCATTCAGATCTTGCTACATCAAGCTAAGAGTTATTTTTCAATACAGTATAGGGTAATCAAATGCTAGTTACAAAGTTGAAAAACATTGTTTCTAGCGATGCTACTCTACAGGAATAATAATATTCGCGGCCTATTATGAGCATTAAGGAAAAAGAAGAAAATATAAATACATATAAATGTATAAAACCTTTTTAGCACTTCCAGTTCTGAAAGATTTTATAAAATATATAACCATTTTTCTTTTTTACCATATAGAGAGATTTCAGTTAGAAAACAATGAATATGACCTTATTACTAATGATAATAATATGAATGCTAGTGGTTGCTTCCCAATTTGTAGATGATTTGTCCACTGCTGATTAGCTGGGAGGAACATTTGAAGGAACATTTATAAGCATCTGTCACTGCTTGACATAGACACCCTAGTTCTAATGCAGTTCAAAGCTTTCAAACAGGAAAATTTTGCTGCTCTGTCCCTGGTAGGCTAAATTATTATCAGTGGAAAAACTTCAGAACATCCACCGCCATCTGGCGAAGATCAGCAAATTCCGGATCAGTACAGCAGAATTAACAATCTTGATATCGTATTATAAATTGTTCAGGGAAATCTTACAAGATTAGAAATTTCAACTGAATCGTAAAGAAAACCTATGAGGAAATGAAGACCACTGCAGCAATCTTCTTTGACTTGTAAAATTGTGTTTCAAGACATTTTACTGGAGGAGCTGGCATTATATAGTTAAGGAAAATACTTTATAGAATTGATAATAATTGAAGTAAATGAAATTCTTTCAGAAACTCTAAAAAGTGACAATAAGAGTTCTTAGAACATTTTGTGTTCTCTGCTAGACAGAAGACAGAATTCTCGAATATCAAAGATAAATGAAGCTGTCTAGTAATGGATCACTAGTTTATCTGTCTATTAACTGTTACAGAAACTTAACCAAAAGAATGGAAACAGTAGAAGAAAAAATGTATGAATACTTGAAAGCAATTTTTTTATCCTGTATTGAAGAAAAACTATTGAAATGATACTTTTATTCAACAATGACAATACTGCCAAGGAGACTATTACATTCCTAGGAATATATCTAGACCCTAAAATGGACTACAAAATTTCTAGTGCAATTTGTTTTGAAATACTTCAAAGTTTCCAACTGTGGAAATACCACATGGGATGTTTAAAACCCATTTTTTGACGAAATCGTTCTTAGAGGAAAATAAATAGATTGAGAAAAAATGTTTGAACCACCAACGACACAAAAAAATTTTTCGTGAAGAATCAATGCTAGTTTTACAAATTTTATTAGTTTATTGTCTAAATAGTTTCAAGTATATAATCACATGTGAAAGGAAATCGACATACAGCTGGTCAAAACTAGGAAGAGACCTGAGAGTTCTCTCTCTCTCTCTCTCTCTCTCTCACACACACACACACACACACAGAGTCTCCTAGTGAACGTGCATCTTAGGGGAGGACCTAAGCCGCGACTTTGAAGTCGCTTCCTAGATTTGACAAACTGTAACTTGCCATACTTGAAAATTGAAAAATTGGATTAAAAGTTATAAGAACTTACCACAGCCTCATAAGTTGTGAACTTTGGTTTCATATCCTTTCCTCTAAGGTTTATAAATGCACCTTTGTTTCCCATGGTATCGCTAAAGTTGTAAAAATCTTAATTATTAAATGATAAATAAAATATTTCAATAGTAACATCAAGCAAGCAACCGAATATTCAACAAAAATGATTGATGCCGGTGCGTTGTCAAATGGATAAATAATTTTAACAACTTGGCATTGTCTAAGGCGAAAAGAATATCTCTATGAATTTTTTGCCTTCAGACAACTGAAGATATTGGTTTGAGTAAGCATCTAGAATTTATTATTCAGCTGAAAACATTGAACACCGGTCACATCATTCATAGCAGAAAATAGTTTTGCGAATAAATCCCCCAAAGATTTTTGAAGATACGACTTAATATTCAAGAGGCTAGAGCTAGATGATGGCTAATCTGGTGGATTATTTTGACAAGTCTGATTTGAAGGTAACCTTAAAATAATAAATCTTGTTGACAACTAAACAGGAGAACAATTCATCAAGTTAATAAAAATGTGATAAAAAATAAAATAATATATGACATATTTACTGGAAGTGGTAGAGTTTTACCAGACTTAAAAGTCTGGTAAGTGTTCTGATAGAAAAATCTCAAAATCAAGTGATACATGATGAATTTAAAAACAATTAATACTCACCAATAATTTGGTGCTGAGAAGACGGTAATGCATTTACCATCATGAGCAACTTCATATCCTTCATTTTTAACCTCATGACTCCTGATAATGTAGTCTAATTTGTTCAGTTCAAGGAACTTAGTGGTAACATCCGGTCCAAACTGACAACCAACTCCTCTTTTGCTAGGTGCTCTGCCAGGCTGTGGTTGTGGATCTGACCAAAGTAACTCGCACATCGGTCCCTCTTCCGGCGGCTGCCTATTTCTGTCAATCTTTTTGATTTCATCTAGTGTAACATCGTCTTTTGAGAACAATCCACCATGCATAACCTGCAGAAGTTGGTTGATATAAAAAATTAAAAATCGAGTCAAATTGGGGTTTACATTAAAATCATTTTGAAAGAAAAATTCTACAAACTATAAGTAAATGTTTCAAAATGTTATATGGTATATGAAATTGGAAATTATCAACCTTTGCATTTTCTGGTGTCTAGTGTGATAAGATTTTACACTTTTGTTTGAAAATGCTTGACAATGTTTCTTATTAACTGTCTAAGAAAATGTTTAAAATAATGGAAATTCAAATACCAGGACCAAATATTTGGATGAGTTATGTAAAAAATTATATTATTTTGTGTATTACATTTTACTTGTTATTTCTATCTAGAATCTAATATCTAATTTTCTATGTGAAAGTAATAATTTATTTTCATTTTTGATCACAATGATTTAGTTACAAATGAGTGTTATTATACTTTTACTTAATTACTTAATTTCTTTCCATTTTTGACATTCTTTTTTAACTTTTACTTACATACTTTACTTACTTACTTTCATCTCAAATCTGTTGACATTTTTTAGACAATGGAAGTTCGTACCTCTAACAGTTGTTACTACTCATTTTACAATGGTAATGACTTTTACAACAAACAAATTTTTTTTTTTTATTTGTTAAAGTTAAATTGAAATCTGTTATTTTGAGAAAAGTGACCCAAATTCTATTTCGATTATAATGATGAGTCTATGGAAAACAATTTTTCTTTGCCAGAAAAAAATGACTGACATCTCATGATGATTTTAACTTGGTAGGCAAAACGCTCGCCGAGAGACAGCATTTTTGTTCTGGTGAAGGAAAATTATTTTCAGCAGATTCGTTTTAAGCCAGAGATTCCAAATATTATTTATCAAGATAGTGAAGTGTTTACGAGGTAGATTTAAAAAAAGAAAAAAGTCAAGTTCTACTAATGTTTGGCCATTCACTTAGTCATATCCGGGACACAAAAGGTTGGATTTATTTATACTTGTAATATTGATTTTACGTTTCCGCATAATAGTAAAATGTTATTCATTATATACTTAGGAAACGAATGCAGAAAAACACATTTTTGTGGGCAGATATGGATAGATGTTCTTTTTATATGTAAATACATTTTGTAGCAATTGCAACCCACAAAATTCGATTACTTTTGAAACCTTGTTTCATGACAAGGTTTTAATGGGACAAAAACTAGAATATAAATCTATTTGCTTACCAACACTTTTTGATTCAAACAATGTGCTAGAGGAAGCCAGTTGTAAACTTCAGTAAACAATTCTGCCATTTGAGCAGTATATTTGAACTTCACTTCTCCATCGAAGCCGTACATTTGATTCATTGTTGCACTTTCATGATTTCCTGGAAATTTGAGAAAATATAATACATTGGGATGCTGCAAATTTGATAATTATGGTTTTTTTTAATGTACTTAAAAATTTGATAGATGTCTAGGTGGAAAATATAACTAGTACTTTTTCCAATAAACAAGTAGTATAATTGACTATAGTACAATTCCATAATAGTAGGCACTAAATTCTAAGAAATATTGTATTAAAACGAAAACATTGTTGTCAAGAGTTTATATATTTATCATCATAGTAAACCTATATTATTCTTTAATATACTGTATCATTAGTAGTAACATCATTGTGTGGGAATGAGCTACAGATACATGCAGAATTTTTAATCACAAAAAAAATCATAAGGTTACTATATGATTTGGACTAAAGAGAAACGTTCAGAAACACGTTCATTGAAAACAATATCCTAACACTAACATCTACCTATTTATACAAATTATTAATATATACCTATCAGAATGCTAAAAATATGAACAGAAACAGTGACTACCATGAATATGATACCAGACAGAAGAATGACATATAAAGAGCCCTCTATATGCTGAAGCACATTTGTTCAATTTTTTGCCTCAGTACCAATATGAAACATTTCAAACTATCTTTGAAAAAGTTTCTCATCCGCCCTGCCTTTTATTCATTAGACGAGTATAAACAACTTAACGACTAGACAGTTATGTTTCAATCTATTTTAACATGTGTTTATATTTAAATATTTTATTTTTATTTAATTTGTAACAACTAGGATGTTCGTGATGTTTTTTTTCATAATGTTTATATCCAATGAGATTGTTTTCTCTCTTGATGTAGTATGACTTATGTTGTGAAGCAACTATAAGCAACTATCTATCTAATTCCTCATCTGTTTAGTTTAATTTCCGTACGCCACTGCAACAGACAGATTAAGGCAAAAACGTCGGTCATTTCTGAGAATTTAGTGCCTACTATTTTAGGATTATATTATAAGTGATACCAAACTAATTTGAAAATGAATGAAAAATTAATTCTCATACATTAATATGAAACTGACATATCCACATCCAATATCCAACTTATATTTTTTCCTTTGGTGACAACAGGATAAACAAGTCATTAGCATTATGTAATAACTTCTATTCACAATCCTTTTAGCCATTCTATGTACTAGAAGCAATCCTCCCTCAACAGGATAAATTCATGAGAGAAAAATATCTGGTCACAGATGGATTCAAACTCAGGACCCCTACGGTCACATGCACCCTACACCTTAAGTCGGCTCTCCGCATAGCGCGCTGCCATAACTTTCATGATTTTTAGTTACTTAGTAGTGAAATAAAAATTTTGTCTGCTGAAGTTATCGAAGAATTCTTGCATTTAGGAACGATGCAATACTTGTAACGTCATATTTAATTATTATTCATATTCATGCAGTTAACACACTGAGTAAACAACACACAACTTGCTTTCTACGGCTTTAGCATACGTACCTATTTCGCTCATCCGCCAGCACTCTCTTGTCGCCGAGTCGACTGAGGTGACGTCAAGCTTGACCACACCCCGTTTCAGTGAACGCCACATTCAACTATTAATTTGAGGGGGAAGATAAAGAGTGAAAATTCAGATTTTTTGCAGATGTA